TCACATACCTTTTTTTATACCATCAAAATCGTCATGAATCTCTTTTGGCCAAGCAGACATTTTCCAAACACGTGGATCTGCTTCTAACGCCACGTTTGCATTTATGAGTGAAGTGCCGCCAAGTCTATAATGATCGATAAGTACAGAAGTATAGATAATGAAAATCATTTACAAATTCTGAAAAAGTTTTTGTATCCTTATCATTATTATAACCTTATTACAGTATATCTTATTATTATCAACTTACCCACATCCTACATAAGCACTTTGACCAGATCCAACATAAAAATGGTACATTCCGGTTTTTTTACCCTTATGCCCAGAAACTGAACTGAATTGTAATTCTTGAGCACATTCGGTTAATTCAGTTGGGTATTCTCCTGGCCATCTTTCCAGACCTGGTTAGAATGAATTATCGTTATCAATTAACTTTTATTTTTTATGCACAATACGTAATTGGAATTAGATTTAAGATAGGAATTGATATACATAAATATGAAATGATCCTAACCTTTTTCTAAAAGAGCTACTCTTTTTCCAGCTCGAGACATACGAGATGCAGCTATACCACCACCATAACCTGATCCGATGACCACCACATCATAATGCGGTCTCATGTAAGGAGCAGGAAGAGATATTTGTCGTTTACCATTTGTTTGCATTTTGTATGAATATGATATTTAAACGAGACGTAATGTAAAAAAAAATTACGTTCGTGTAAAAATTCGAAATGAAAAGAAATTTTTACCCATTTTTATTATTTTTTTTAATTGTTTGTTTTATTATTAACCATTTACATAAATATCATAGAAATGTTTGAAATCGAATTTTCTCTAGTAATCTAAAATAGAGATAGTGATACCAAGACAGCATTAGCGAAAAAATTTTTTATTTGTAAAACAAAAAAAGGTTTTGTCAATGTTTATCAAATTTAGTTAGATAATTTGTTGTGATATCACAAGACAAGGAGTTTCGTACGTATAAAACAATAAAATGTGTACATCTTATTTGTTTTTCTTGGTAAAACAAAAGAATTCCCATGTGCTTTTTGGAAACAAAATGTTTATATTTAGAGTTGATTTCCAATTAATTATGCATTTTTGTTGGTCATGGAAACAATAAATAAGGAAAATGCTTAACATTTTAAGAAATTTTCATGCGCAGGGATGTTTCATTTAATCAAATGCAGATCTTAATATTTAATTTAAAAATTGGAATCATATTCTACAACTAATTCGATTTCACACGCCAAGTGTCCCAAGTGTCGAAGGATTATAAAAAAGTTTCTATCATTTTGACATTACAAGCGAAAGTTCAAAATGGCGAATAAATCTTCGACCTTAAACGAAAAAGATCCTTCAGCTCGTATTTTTAATATTAGTGATGCAATTTCGATAGATGATCAATTATACATTAAAGATCTATTTAGTATACCAAAGGAAGGTTATCTTCCTGAATCGTTAAAAGAGTTTGAACCTTTTATTGATTCTATCAAAACATTCTGCGTTTACCTCAGCCAGGTTTATATGCACATAGTTCTAATGTTTGTAACTAATTGGACTATGCCACTTACACATCCAATCATTTACAACTTTACGAACTCCTTCATCAGCATTTTCGAGTGCTTGAAAAACATTTTCAAGATCACATACTTCAACTTGTTCTTGTTTATTTATATTATTTCGAATTTGCGATAGATAAGTTACAGCTTTACGAACTTCTGTTTCTTCCCGAAGATAGACAACAGAGGATAAGAACAAGAGTGTTTCCGCCAAATCGAGATTAAAGTGTGGTTGTTGGAAAGTTTGTGGTTTACCCAATGCTGCTATACCTCTTTCTCTAATCTTGGCTATAGAATAAATGCGTGTTAGATTGATAAATATAATTTATTGAATAATTGAAATATTTTTTATAGATTATTAAAAATATAATTACATAATTTTTCGGTGGTTAATTTTTGCCAACCGGCTTCGTCATATAATTTAAAATCCATTCCAATAAAATTCGCAATACTTAAAAACAATGTTGCAGGGAGAAGAAAGCATACACTCGCAAGATAAATTAAAATAATTAATATGAAATTGATTGGTTGTGTAAGTGGCATAGTCCAATTAGTTACAAACATT